GGGGGGGGGGAGTGCCTGTGTGCCAAGTTTGGTCGAGGTCCGTCATTTGTGGGGGTCACCAAATGCATTTTATTTCACTAAAATGTCTTATTTCTTAAAATATAGTCATCAATATTTGTAGCACTTTTAAAGGTGTAAATATTAATACTTGCACGAGTCTCCAAACATTGTGGTGAAAGATGCAAGATAGAGAAGGATGTGCTGTGCTTCCCTGAGTTTTGTTCTCAGAAGTCAAGCAGAATGTATTCTATAGCACATTCAATACAGGCTTTGAAAAGGTAAACAGTGTACTTCCTGTTTCTCCAAATTGAGGGCCTTAGCCTCAACAGTTACACTCTTTTGTTGCTTTATAATTGTGATAAATACGTAATGCTCAACCTTTTTCTCTTTTTCCTTCCCACCCAGAATTCTCTTGGTTTAACTGGTGCGTTCCAGGGTCCTGCTTGCTGAGTCTTCTGCTCATCCTGTGTTTCAGGGAATCCTACGATAGACTTTATCTTGATGTCATTGTCTCCGTTTGAAAGCACAAAACAGAGTGGAAGATAGAAGCTAGTGCTGTGCTCGACCCATTTCCTTCGAAATTCAATAGCCCAAAGTTCACAGTAAAACTCAAGAAATTTCTTACCATGGACGTTTTAATTGAATTTAGAAAGACTTTTTTTTAAAAAAGTATACTTCCTCGTTTCGTATTTTATTATTTACACAATTATGAAGAGCCTTGCACTTGAAGGAGAATTAGATGGCTTTTAAGGGAGAAGTTCTAGCTTGTGAACTGTGATATTTTATTTAAGAAGCTATTTAACTGGTTATACAAACTGTGCCAACTCAGACCACTCACAAAGAGAAGTATCATAGCAATATCATGTCGTTTAAGGTTTATAAGGGAAGAGTCCCTATTCATAAAAAAAAAAAACATAATCTTTTGGGATCCTGCATTATCAAATGAAAATTCTGACCGTTCTCAATTTGTTTTGCTTTAGATAAAAATTTACTTTTAGGGTTTTATAAATAGGTAGGTGCTATTGAGAAGGTTTTCAGTGTAGGCTTCAGGGATGAACAACATGCTTAACCCTCCCAGGGAGGGACCATCCACACTGCAGAATTATAGCGCTTTAGCACCACTTTATTTGCCATAGCTCCGCCCTATGTGATTCTGGGATTTGTAGAATAAAAAAAAACCTCTCAAAACTACCAATCTGAGAATTCCATAGCATTGAGCCATGGCCGCCAGTGTTGTGTCAAATTTTATAATTCTGCAGTGTGGATACAGTGTGAGTCTATTCAGAATTAAAATAACAGATTATGTATCATCTATGACATAGATTTTTAGAATAATTACATGACTATATATTTAAATTCCCTGTGAAGTCTTAATATGTCATTTGGACATTAGATTTGTTTTCTAATGTAGCTGCTTCTGATTTTTAAAATAAATAAATAAAATGCTTTTATTCCCTTCCCTCCAAAAACAACACAATCACACAAATACAGTTCTCGACACTGAAGGATCTTCTGGCAATTGGTGCTATACATTCAGTTGCAGCCATAGTATGCATAATGACATTGTCAAGGAACGGTGATAGTAATCCTGATTTAGTCCTGAAATGTTTCTTTTGTATCCCTCTTTGGGAACGTTCATTTTTCACACCCAGACAATGCACACCCATCTCCCAAAGTTTTGCAAACCTAATTAAACCAAGATTTTGCCTTTTCTTTAATGTTTACTTCTCTATTTATTCTGAGTTTTAAAGATTGCCAATCATGTGTGATCATTTGGATTTTTTAAAAAAATCAATAACTGTTTTAACAGTGGCGGTGTCACGTTTTTTAGTAGTAAAATTAAATTAAATGGGAAGTTCATATTATTTGGCTTCATTCTCAAAACTTTTTTCACATTGTCTGCTTTGTTTTACCAAGTCTCACATGCTCATGCTTTGCAACAGAGCTGAAGCAATGGGAACATTGCCAAATACAGGCTGTCTTTCTCAAGATGGTATGTTTCAGAGAATGGAAGGCCAGCCCGTATGTTTAATCAGTTGTGGCCAGCATGATTCTCTTCGAACATAACTACTTCAAGTCACTTCAATTACTTTGTCTCACACTCTTTCTTAATATCATTTGTGCTTTACTCTTCAGTAATCTTGACTCTTCAGTTGACTTTTCAATAGATCCCCCCCCCCAATTAATATTTGGGTTTCCAAAATGAATTTGCACATGCAAATGAGTTGATTAGAATATGTCTTTCTCTTCTAGATCGTCCGCTAGAAAACCAATCCCTTCAGGAAACAGCATAGTTTACAGAACACAGTTGAGCCACAGAATTGATATAGCAATTTTTCTGCAGACACGATGGTGGCAAGCATATCTGGAACATTTGAGGAGGCTTGTAATTCCCTGCTTGAATGAAATCTCAAAATTGGATGTGCCCTGTTCCACCTCTCTTGTTTCCTTTGAACATTGTAATTCAGACATTTAGTGATACTCCTCAGACTGTTTTTCTGATTGAATAGGTAAGATGTTTCAGTTGAATTTAGTAGCTTAAATTATTTTTTTCAGGTATTTAGTTGCTTACATTAATTTTTCAGGTCATGAATATTACCATAAACACTGCTGGGTATTATGCAGGCCTCAAGATTTTGTAGGACTGCATGTCCCCCCAGATCCATAACCAATGGTGAGGAATAGGCTTGTGCAGTTCAGCTGGAGGGTGATCCTTTTTTGGTATCTGGAGTTTGCTGGGTACCCAGATCTGTTTTTGGTAGCCTCTTGAAAATTGGCTAATGGAAAAAACTGTTTTTGGCTAGGCAGTTGAAAGATCCAGGAAGATCCGGCCCATTGGCGGGAATAGAGAACTTACGAGGCTCCCCTTGCCATTTCTGGGACCTTTTCCTATCTTCTTTTCAAGCGAGTCTGGGTTTGAAGAATGGGGTTAAGGAAGCAGTGCGGAAGACATGTCACAGCATTCTCCTATTCTGATTGGCCCAACAGGCTGGGCTCACAGGGAAACCCCATGCGAGCAGCATGCGGCAGCCTCTCTGCGTGCCATGTGCTGCCGAATAAGAGAGGAAAGGGCCATGATCGGCTGCCATATAGTCCTGTTAACGGACGAAGAAGTGTAACAGCTTGAGCCCTTACCGTTATGGCCATCCAAACAAGCCAGATTGGCCAAAGGGAAGCAACCACTCTGAATCTGTGCACAAGCCTAGTGAGGAACACTGGGAATTGCAGTCTGACATCATTTTGAGGGACACATCTTCCATCATACCCATTTTACCTTTTTGTTGCTTCTTGTGTCTTCTTTTGTATTGTGCAGGAAAGCAGAATAGGGTAATTTGCTGAACTGAACTTTGACAGGCCATGAAAGATTAAAAACTTACTTCTTGAAGAGGTCCTTTTCCAACTAGATTAATTTACAGTTTATAGTAAATGTGATTTCCGCTCACTTAAAGACAAGCACTTCTTTACTTATAGGTCAAACGGCTAGTGAGACTTGCTGCTTAATCCTCCACTTGGATGGCAGTCGCTTTAAAAATGATAAGGTCATGCTGCTCACACAAAAAAGAAACCACACTCTCCACTTAAGGCCATTTCAGCTTTAGAGCCCAGCTTCTCTATGAAAACCTATATGAAATAGTTGGGTATTGTCAAGATTTTGTATGATAGCAACACCAACCAATATGTCTTACTTCCAGCTAGAAAAAGGTCAAGACGGGAACTCTTTTTGGGTAATAGGATCATTGCTATTATACACATGATATATCCATATGAAGATACTCACATCCACACTGTATCTTCACTGGAAGCAGAAATCAGCTACACATTTGTCTAATTCCTTGTTCTTCATTGACTAAAATCAGCTTAACAGTTCTTTGCATTAAACTTTGTGGGATGTTCTGCTGTTAGTTTCTTCTTCCTCTTTATACTTCTTATTGTCAGGGTTTCAGAGGTGAAAGCTCCTCTAACTGCAATTGGGGATCTACTTATCCTAGCCTTTCATATCTGCTGCTTGAATAAATATTCCTATGCCCACGTTTTGGGGAACAGGTGTTATTAAACTCAATGAAACTCTGTAGAACAGTGGTTCTCAACCTGTGGGTCCCCAAATGTTTTGGCCTTCAACTCCCAGAAATCCTAAAGGCTGGTAAACTGGCTGGGATTTCTGGGAGTTGTAGACCAAAACACCTGGGGACCCACAGGCTTAGAACCACTGCTCTAGAAGTTACTAATGGGTTGCACTATAAATTGCATATAACACTATCTGTAATACAGGACATCTTTTTAATTTGTGAGCACTTGTGAATTGCAGGATAAGAACCTGAGATTTTACAGATGTCTTTGGGTCCCATCTCTATCAATATCAGCTTGCTGTCAGTGGTTACAATTTTATTGTATCAGGAGCGACTTGAGAAACTGCAAGTTGCCTCTGGTGTGAGAGAATTGGCCGTCTGCAAGGATGTTGCCCAGGGGATGACCAGATTTTTTTTTACCATCGTGGTGGGAGACTTCTCTCATGTCCCCATATGGGGAGCTGGAGCTGACAGAGGGAGCTCAATCTACTCTCTCTGGATTCGAACTGCTGACATTTGTTTTTGGTGTGAGAGAACTGGTCCTCTGCAAGGATGTTGCCCAGGGGACGCCCAGATGTTTTATCCTGTGGGAGCCTTCTCTCCTGTCCCCGCATGAGAAGCTAGAGCTGACAGCCAGGAGCTCACCCCACTCCCTGGATTCGAATCGCCAACCTTTCGGTCAGCAGTTCTGCTTGCACAAGGGTTTTAACCCATTGCGCCACGGGGGGCTCCTTGGTTACATGATAGGAGTTACAGTCAACTTCTGCTGAGCCATATGTTGTTGTCAACCTCTGCAGAGCATCCTAGCGTGTTTTTGTTTTCCAGTTAATTGTCATCCAGATTCCATTGGCTTCCCTTTAAAAGCTCATTGGGGGGCAGCCCAATGATTGAGGCCATGATCTTGTGATAGTTTACATTTTTTTTAAAAAAAATCAATTGATTTCAGTGCATATTAAGTGCATTCTTATCAATACCAGCCTACACGTTTGCTTGGAAGTAAGCTGCGCTGTATTCTTACCTCCCAAAAGCTTGGATTAGTATTCCAGGCATAAACCCTGAGATCAATGGGACTGAAAGGTGCTTAATTTTGATTGGAATGAGCCTGGTGTTTGTCATGAGGGTTCCAGAACAGATTCCTGCCTTTTTTCTGCTCATTTTTCAAAAGAAGTAAGAATTAAACTTCACTTTGCACTGAGCTCTGTGTCATTTCCCCTAAACTTCTTTAAAATGAAAAGTAGCCAACTGAGACAGCAGTCAGAAGTGGGCAAAAATAGGTAAGAGATGCTTGATCTTTCTCCCCATTAAATTGATCCCTTCACATTGCTTTCCTCCACAGAGAACAATTTCGAAACAAAAACATAGTAAGAAGGGATAAAGCACTTCCTTTCAGTTGCAGTTTTTCCTTGCTCCCAAAAACAATTACATAAAACTTAATCCCTGGTATTATCGAAAGTAAGGAGATGACTGGAGGACTTGACTTTGCCTCTCTCGGGCAATTTAAAAATGGAATAAAGAATGTTGCCCATCTTTTATTTAGTGCTGTTACTTGACAACTTGGGCAACCAGTTTCATATCAAAAATGTATACTGTGTACTGTGTAATGGCACAACCTAACAAGAGTATTTGAGATGGTTAGGGGATGATTTTGAATGTTGGGTAGCGACAAAAAAAATGCATAACCCAAACCTACTCTTTAAAAAATAGTAGTAGTTATTAGATATGCATGTGGATTTAATTAAATGTTATGCATCATTCATAGCCTCAAGACAGCCTATAAAGGCTCAGATTGCAATTTTGTCGTGGTCATTAACCTGCATTGTAATTATATTGTTTAATCATTTAAGCTTCTCAAGTTGTTGAGGCGACAAACATTGGTTTGAGGAAGGCTTTTGGATTTGAAATTATCGGTTATAGCAGGGGTCCTCAAACTTTTTTTATTAGTGGGATGGTTCACAGTCCCTTAGACTGTTGGACTATAGTTCAGGCGGGGGGGGGGGGGGGGGTGAACGAATTTTGATGCACACTGCACATATCTTATGTAATTATATATATATATATATATATATATATATATATATACGGAAGAACAATACAATATTTAAAATGAAGAACAATTTTAATCAACAGAAACTTACCAGATATTCAGTGGGAAGTTTGAGCCTGCTTGGTTGATGAGATAGTCAAATTAATTAGGATTGTTGTTGTTGTGTGTCATTAAGTTGTTTCAGACATAAGAAAACCCTAAATCTAAAGTTTAAGGTGGGGGCCAGGTAATGTCCTTGGAGGGCTGCACGGGGCGTGGTTTGGGAACACCTAGGTTATAGTATTTACTTATCACTTCAGTTGCTTCCCAAGACTGAAGGAAAGAAGCATAGTGGGACTTGGGTATAGTAGAAATGGCTGTATATAGTCTCTCAAGTGGAGTCCAGAGAGGAAATTTTGTTGTGTAAATCCTGCCAAAATAAGGATAGGACACTTTCTCCTATTGTTCTGTTCCCATTCATTTCATGCCATCTAGACAGGAGAAATTCTCAGTGGACTATATCTTAACTAATCTTAGTGAAATGCTCTAATATGAAGTTGGTTGTCTCTGTCCGCTGTGCATTGAAATAGGAGCCGCGGTGGCACAATTGGTTAAGCCCTTGTGCCAGCTGAACTGCTGACCTGAAGGTCAGCGGTTTGAATCTGCAAGACAGGCTGAGCTCCTGTCTGT